GCTGCTGCTGCGATTAGTGTTGCCGTTGCTGCACCGCCTCCTATTGCAGCAGCAGCAGCTGCTGCTGCTTTGTTGCTGCTGTACTGTGAGGTTGCAGCTGCTGCACGTGTAGGGTTTAGGGTTTAGGGTTATTTGAGGCCTTCTTCTCTCGCTAGGGAGGAGTTGAGGAGAAAAGGGTTTTAAGTTAGGGTTTAGGGTTTAGGGTTTAGGGTTTAGAGACAAAAGTACTTGAGGCAGAGATCCTGCTGTGACAAGGCCAACGTAGAGAAAATATTCAACTCTGCAGCAGCAGCAGCAGCAGCAGCAACGGTAACAACAGCAGCAGCAAGGCTGACGCAGCAACAGGTAGTAGAAGGATCAGCAACACAGTTAGCAGCAGCAAACAACGAAGCGGCAGCTACAGCAACAGCAGCAGCGGAAGCAGCCGTAGCAGCAACAGCAGCAGCAAATGCACCAACAGCAACAACAGCAGCAGTGGCAGCAACAGCAGAAGCAACAGCAGCAGCGAGCGCACCTTCCTCTGGAGGCAGCAGATGCCTTCCTAGTAGTTCTGTTGCAGCAGCAAAAGCAGCAGCTGTCATGCTGCTGCTGCTGCTGCAGCTGCTGCAGCTCCTCAAGGCTTCTATCCGAAGCTCTGTAAACTCGCACTGTCTGTACACCTCAGCCAGCAGCAGCTGCTGCCAGCTGAGCAGCTGCAGCAGCAACAAACCCACAAGTGCTGCCACACTAAACCCTAAACCCAAAACCCTAAACCCTAAGCGCTTAACCCTCACCTCGATGTCTTTGTTCGTTGCGTTCAAAGCCAACAGATCTGCTGCCTCTCTCCTCCTCCCAAGACGCACCTGCAGCAGCAGCAGCAGCAGCAGCAGCAGCAGCACGGAAGCTGACAGCAATACCAGCAGCAGCAGGAACAGCCCTCCTGAACTATGTGCAGCACCAGCAACTCATTAGCAACACAACATGTTTGTTGTAACTGCTGCTGCTGCTGCTGCCGCTGCCGTTGCTGCTGCTGTTGCTGCTGCCCACCAGAGCATGCGCCTTGAGCAGCAGCAGCTGCGGATCTGCTGCAGGCTGCTGCTGCGTGTGCCGCTGCAGAAACTGCAGCAAGTCGCTGTGTCTCCCTGAGGCATGCTGCAGCCACAGTGCAGCATAAAACCACTTGCTGTTGTCCTTGTTGTTGCTGCTGCTGCTGCTGCTTCTGTCACTGCTGCTGCTGCTGTCGCTGCTGCTACTAGGTGGAGTGTGGCGGCAGACAAGGGAGCGCAGCTGCTGTAGCAACTCAGTGCCATTTGCTGCAGCAGCAGCAGCAGCAGCTCCTGTTGCATTGCTGCTGCTCTCCGCTGCTGCAGCTGCACCTGCTGTTGCGTTGCTGTTGCTGCTTGAATGCTGGCTCGGCACCGCATGCTGCTGCAGGTGCTCATTCTGCTGCTGTTGCTGCTGCAGCAGACGCTGAATGTGCGGTGAACGGCTTGAGTGCTGCTGCTGCAGTAACTGCTGCTGCTGCTGTGGCTCTGGGGCTCCTAGGAGCAGCAGCATGTCTTCTGCTGCTGCTTCTTGACAGCAGCAAACAGACAAACAACCGTCCCACCACTCTCCTGCGTTACCCTGTGCTGTTGCTGCTGCTTCAATCTGCTGCAGCAGCTGCACATCTTGCTGCTGCTCCAGCTCATGTTGCAGCAGTTGTTGAACTAGCTGTTGCGCTCTTAACTGCTGTTGCTGCTCCTGTTGCTGCTGCTGCTGATGCTCGGCCTGCTCCAGCAGCAACAGCGCCTGCATCAATAGGTGCTGCTCCTGCTGCTGCTGCTGCTGCGCACAGATCCCTCGGGCATCCAGCAGCAGACTCGGCGGTGCTGAAAGGTTGTTCCTGCTGCTGCTGCTGCTGCTGCTGCTGCTGCAGCCGCTGCAGTTGCTGCTGCTGCTGTTGCTGCTGCAGTGGTCCCGAGATGGGTCCAGAGGATCTGGAAGCAGGGGGCAGAAAGGGTAATTCAAAGAGAACCTGTGCTGCTGCTGCTGCTGCTGCTGCTGCACTTGAGGTTGGTGCTGCAGCAGCATCTGGTGGCGTCGCTCCTGCTGCTGTATCAACTGCTGCACTCGACGCTCGTGGTCCCTTGTTGCTGCTGCTGCTGCTGCTGCCGCTGCAGCACCTACTGGCGCATGCACCGGTGCGCCGGCAGAAGCTTCAGCCTGCATCTTCTTGCTGTAGCTGCTGCTGCAGTTGTGGCTGCTGCTGCGGTCGCTACTGCGGTTTCTGCTGCGGTTGCTGCTGCGGTTGCTGCTTCTGCAGCAGCGCAGCAGTGCTGCTGCTCGCCTTCTGATGCGCTCGGCTACTTAAGCGGGGAAGCCCTGCTGCGCAGCCACAGCAGCAGCAGCAGCTGCTGCTGCTGCTGCAGCTGCTGCAGCTCCTCTACGACGTAGGAATCCAGCAGCTGCTCAGCCTTCCTGCTTCTGCTGCAGCGCCTCCCCCTCATCAGCAAGCGGATGGTGAGACATTAGCAGCAGCAGCAGCTGCTGCTGCCGCTGCTGCTGCTCATGCGCCTCTGCTGCTGCAGCTACGGCTGTGTTGCTGCTGCAGCCTGTGTCTTCTAGCTGAAGCGGGAGGCAGCCGCAGCAGCAGCAGCACACAAATCCTCTGGAAAGAATCAACCCTCAATTGCTGCTGCTGCGTGTGTCCTAAGCAGCAGCAGCAGCAGCAACAGCAGCAGCAACAACAGCAGCAGCTGCAACTCAAACGGTGGGGTCGCTCTTTGGGGCTGCCTCCGACGGCTGCTGCAGCAGCAGCAGCTGCTGCTGTGGCTGCTACTGCTTTAACAAGTTTATAAATAAGTGTAAGCGTTTCTTCTTGACTATTAAAACTGTAGGAGCAGCAACAGCAGCAGCAGCAAGAACCATTTCTCTACGGGTGTTGTCTCTCCGGCTTCGCGGGTGTGCTGAGCAGCGGCAGCAGCAGAAGCAACAGCAGCAGCAGAAGCAGCAGCAGCAGCAGCTGCATCCTTTAACGCATTCGGAGTTGCGGCAGCTGCAACATTTGCTGCAGAGTATTTAGTGCCGCTGCTGCTGCTGCCGCTGCGCTGGAGGAGGCTGCGAAGCAGCGAACAGGCAGCAGCAGTAGCTGAAGCAGCAGCAGCAGCAGCAGCAATAGTTGTACCAGCAGCAGCAGCACCAACAACGACAACAGCAGCAGCAGCAACAACAACAACAGCAGCAGCAGCAGCAGAAGATGGTCCCTCTTCCCCTGCTGTCTTGTGCTAGAGGCGCACTTGGTAGGCGGTTTGCTGCTGCTGCTTCAGGACGAGCAGCAGCAGCAGCAAGCAGCAGCAGCACTTGCAGCAGCAGCAGCGGCAGGCTGCTGATTTCTGGTTGTAGATTCCGCTCTGTCACCGCACATCAACAGAAAAAGCAGCAGCAGCAACAACAGCAACAGCAGCAACAGCAGCAGCAGCTGCAGCAACAACAGCAGCAGCTGCAGCAACAGCAGCAGCAGCTCCTGCAACCGAGGCACAGCGCCTCGGAGACCGCAGCGACGGCAGCAGAGACAACAGCAGCAGCAACAACAGCAGCAGCAACAGCTGCTGCAGCAGAAGCCGTTGAAGCTGGACATGCAGCACCCAGCGTAGCAGCAGCATCTGCAGCAACAGCACCAGCATCACCAGCAGCAGAGGCAGCAGCTGCAGGACCAACAGCTGCAGCACGGAGCGACCCAGAAGCTGAAGCAGCAGCAGCAGCAGCAGCAGCAGCAGCAGCAGCTTCGCATGCAGCTGGTCTAGCTTTGCTGCAGCACTATCGGCAGTGCAGCTTCGCGCTTTTTGGAGTTTTACCTGCTGCAGCAACAGCAGCAACAGCAGCAGCAGATGCAGCAGAAGCAGCAGCAGCGGCAGACGCCGTCTCCTGTCTCCTTAGCTACTCGCGGGAAGCAGCAGCAGCACCTTTCTTATTGAAGCTGCCACATACCAAACAACCTCCAGCAGCAGCAGCAGCAGCAGCAGCAGCAAGTGCAGCAGAGCCTGAAGGAAGTACGCAGGAGCAGCTCGAGGTAAGTAGCAGCAAGCTGAGGGTCTCCACCCGCGTAGTGTTTAGGGTTTAGGGTTTAGGGTTTTGGCTAGGGGTTTAGGGTCTGGGGGTTTAGTGTTTGGTGAGGGGTTAGGTTTAGGGTTTAGGGTTTAGGGTTTAGGGTTTGCGTGCAGTGTATGAACAAAAGGAATCGATTGGCGCAGCGAAAGCGACGGAAGAGACAGGGGGAAAGGGTCTCTCTCAGATATAGATGAAGCAGCAGCAGCAGCAGCAGCAGCAGCAGCAGCAGTAGCAGCAGCAGCAGCAGCAGGTGCTGTTGTTGTTGTTGCTGCTGCTCTGGTTTGCTCCTCTTAGCTGCAGCAGCAGCAACGACAGAACCAGCAGCAGAAGCAGAAGCAAAGAAGTTTGCTGCTGGCCTCTTACTTGGAGTCGTGCGCTGCAGCTGCTGCAGCAGGAGCTGCTGCTGCAGCGGGATGCTGCTGCTGCTGCAGGAGAAGCAGCAGCAAAAGCGGATGCTGATGCTGCAGCGGGCACTCGGGGCGACCACAGCAGCAGCAGCAGAAGTAGCAGCAGCAGCAGCAGCAGCATTTACTGCCTTTGAGGGAATCCTCAGGCCTCGCAAGTACAGCGACAGCTAAACCCTAAACCCTTGCTGCTAAACCCTAAACCCTTGCTACAAACCCTAAACCCTGAAGACAGGGTGGCGTAGATAAACTGAAGCGCCGTAAACCCCACAAGGGTTTTTTTTTCGTATTAGGGTTTAGGGTTTATTATGATTAGGGTTTAGGGTTTATTAGGGTTTATTAAGACTAGGGTTTCGGGTTTATTAAGATTAGGGTTTAGGGTTTGTTCATGATTAGGGTTTAGGGTTTGTTTTTGATTAGGGTTTAGGGTTTATTAAGCTTAGGGTTTAGGGTTTAGGGTTTACTAAGGTTAGGGTTTAGGGTTTACTAGGGTTGGGGTTTAGGGCTTATTTATGATTAGGGTTTAGGGTTTATAAAGACTAGAGCTTATCAAAATACGGCTTTATGGTTTATTAAGATTAGGGTTTAGGGTTTAGTAAGACTAGGGTTTAGGGTTTATTAAGATTAGGGTTTAGGGTCTCACAGGGTTGTCGCTACGTGGAGCGTAGCAGCAGCAGCAGCAGCAGCAGAAGCAGCACCAGAAGCAACAGCAGCAGCAGCAGCAAACAAAATGCTTTTAACCCTCTTAAATACCCTATTTGACTAAATAAGCATTAAAGACACTGAACTTGTCTGCTGCTGCAGCTGCTGTTGCTGCTGCTGCTGCTGCTGCTGCAGGGGCCCTCAGGGGGGCCCAGTCGTCGGCAGCGCCGAAGCAGCAGCAGCAGCAGCAGCAGCATATCTCACAGCTGTGTATTAAACGAAGCGCTTCTCATCTTCTCATTGCTAGAAGGAGCAGCGGCAGCAACAACAGCTGCAGCAGGAACAGCAGCAGCAGCAGCAGCAGCAGCACCAAAAGGCTCAAACGTAGGCAGCAGTAGCTGCTGCTGCTGCCAGAGCTGCTGCTGCGCATGCATGCCTTGCATGCTGTTGCTGCTGATGTTTAAAACGCTAGGAGCAGATGAGCACCACAGCTGTCCTCGGTGCTGCGCTGCAGCAGCAGCAGCAGCAACAGCAGCAGCAGCAGCCTCTTGACCCGCTGCCGACAGACGCGCAGCAGCAGCAGCAGAAGAGCTGCTGCGCCTCAGCAGCAGCAGCAGCAGAAATGCAAGAAGAGGCAGCTGTAGCAGCAGCACCGCAAACCGCAGAAACAACAACTGCAGCAAGCCTCCCAGCAGCAGCACCGGAGGAAGCCTCGACAGCAGCAGCAGCTACACAAGAAACAGCAGCAGCACCAGCTGCAGCAGCAGCAGCAGATGGCCCTCTCAACAGCAGAACTGCCGAGGCGATTCGCCTTGCAGAAGACCTTCTCTCAAGCAGCGCCGCTGACTGCAGCAGCAGCAGGGGCAGCAGCAGCAGCAGCAGCAGCAGCAACAGCAGCAGCAGCAGCCTGGAAGCAGAAATTTTTGCATTTGAGACTCAGGAGCTTCCTGCTGCTTTGGTGCGCTACTGGGCTATCCTTGACAGCGACTGGCAAGACCCCAAGCAGCAGCAGCAGCAGCAGCAGCAGCAGCAGCAGCAGCAGCAGGAGCAGCAGCAGGCGCAGCAGGTCTTCGTGGGGAAGTATGCGGGCCGCAGTTTGCTGCAGCGGATGGCGCGGCGCTGCTACAAATTGCTGCGGAGGGTGCTGCAGCAATCTAAAGCGCTACGTCAGCAACACGCTGCTGCTGCTCCTGCTGCTGCTTTTGCTGCTGCTTTTGCTACTGCTGCTGCTAGTGATGACGGCGCTGATGATGATTCTGCTGCTTCTGCTGCGGATGACGATGATTTTGCTGCTGCTTATTCTATTGCTGCTGCTGATTCTGCTGCTGCTGCTGCTGCTGATGGTTCTGCTGCTGTGGATGTTATTGGTTGTGGTGTTGTTTTGCTGCTGCTGGTGATTGCTTTGCTGCTGGTAGTGCTGCTACTGCGGTTGCTGCTGCTGTTGCTGTTGTTGTTGCTACTGCTGATTCTGTTGTTGTTGTTGCTGCTGCTGCTTCTGTTGTTGCTGCTGCTGATTCTGTTGTTGCTGCTGCTGCTGATTCTGTTGTTGCTGCTCCTGCTGCCGTTGCCGTTTTGCTGCTGGTGCTCCATCCCACGCTGAGGCTAAGTGAAAGCTTTGCTGCTGCTGCTGCTGCTTCTGTGCTGCTGCTGCTGCTGCTGCAGTTGTTTCTGTGCTGCTGCTGTTGCTGCTATGCTGCTGCTGATGCTGCTGCTGATGGATAATGTTGGGTGTTGCTGGGGTGTGTGCTGCTTGTGCTGCTGCAGCAGCAGCAGTACATCTGCCTCAGCTAGACTATCGTTTGCTGCTGCCGGAGCAGCGGCTGCTGCTGCTGCTGTCTCACATAATAGCAATGATTGGCAGCAGCAAAACAGCAACAGAAGAAACAGCAGAAGGAACTCAGAGGCTGCGCTTGGCGCTGCTGCTGCTGCTCAAGGTCATCCGATTCGAAGCCCAGCAGCAGCAGCAGCCGCCACCGCAGCAGCAGCAGCAACAGCAGCCGCCACCGCAGCAGCAGCAGAAACAGCAGCAGCAGCAGCAGCAGCAGGGTGAAGGCGGCGCAAATGCCAAGCAGGAGAATGACAGCTCTACAGCGGGGGCGCTTCCAGCAGCAGCAGCAACAGCAGCAACAGCAACTGCAACAGCAGCAGCAACAGCAGCAGCAGCAGCAGCAGCAACAGCAACAGCAGGTTGTGCAAGCTGCCTTGAAGTTCCCTTCCTTCTTTTTTATTCTCCTTTGTCTCTGCTGCTGCGAGCTTCTGGTTTGCTGCTAGACTTAGTTTGTCTGTACACACGGTGGAGAGAAGCAGCAGCAGCAGCAACCGTCTATGCCAACATCAAGCCGTTGCTTCAGGAAGCGAAGCTGCTGCTGCAGCAGCACAAACTGCA